ATCTAACAATGCCCTTATGCAGCTTTCATTCATCATGCCCCACATCTCTGATCGGTATCGGGCAAAGCATCAGCAAAGCAACAAAGGCATCCCGTGACCGAAATCGAGAGCGCAGGAGAAAATGACAGTTTTGAACGCATAGCCTGGGTACGATAAATGTTATGTAACTCGGAAATATGATTTTCTTACCGAAGTCACGATTAGCTATGTCCAGCTTCCCAAAATGATTAAAATATTACAGGGGTGCACAATACTCACAATATCCTCAACAGTCCCACCAGCCTTTTGCCTCTCCAAGTCATGCAGCTGATGCCCTTGGAGCTCTCAAAGTTTGTCTCAAATGTATGAATCCAGTTAATATTAATAGTGTCAGCAAAAGTTTACGAATGATAAGACCAACTGAATCATAGTGGCCAATCGTTGCAAAGAAATTCAGCTGGCGAGAGCCACATTTAGTAAACAAATAGATCCACGAACAGGTGTAGTTGAGTTCATGTGCGCTGAGTTCGTGCCTGCAAATATTTGTTGTCTTCGAGTGCCAATCGCAGGTGGTACTTCACCGCGGTTCTCTTCAGCGGGAAGGCGCGCCGTGCGCCCGAAATTTGCCGTTGTACAACGTAAAAGCTTGCTAGAGTTAATCATAAGCACTTTTGGGTCATCAGGTGTATTAACAACAGGATTTGGTCAGAAAATAAGGTCAGTCAGGTGTCTACGTGTCCGTAGATTCGGGGGGTATTGGTAGTTTTGCAAAATAAGTAGGGACTGTGTGCAGTGAGCGGGAGAAAACGGTTAAACCAACACATCAAATACGAAATAAAAATGCTTCTCAAATTTGACCCACCTGCCTCGCGATGCATTCCTCGCATGACTTATCAGGCACAGCATGCTATTCTTTCTGATAGATTTTGTGAGAAGAGGAGCATGACTGGAAGGTGAGCGTTATCTAAAGAGTGATGGGTCACAGCGCACTGAATCTCAATAAACTACAGAATTAGTGAGGTTGTGTATGGTTCCATCTATAAACTTATTTGTTCTATTGTGCGAGAAGCCTATGTGAGGTGTTGTCAGCCTCAGCTTGCTGCTTATTGGCATGATAGGGAAAAATGCTTTCAAGATCAATTCCATTAAGACCTAATTGCATACCAGCACAAGCAGTAGCCAAACATGTGTCAAAGTTCACATTGGTATGTTACACAGGGATTGCATGGTTTGTATGCTAATGCTGATTGTTTCCAAACAACCTCAGTAAGGTTTTGTGGTATATTGAGGATGATAAGCCTGATACCATTGTCCTTACTGGATGTATTTCATAAGCCAAATCAATTCCACTGTCACCAGCCAGGTTATTTTTAAAGATTCTTTTTCTCTAGACTTTAAATCTGATGCCAAACAGGCCAGCTGGGTTCATCAAGAATGCAAGGTGCTGTTTTTTATCAGATGATACCTAAACCCAGCAGCAATTTCGGTCCCATGCACAATTTGAGAAGTGATATGGATAGGGATAAACTAGGGAACAGTGTTCTACTGATGTCTAGTGTCTGGCATGGTTGACAGAAACCAAATTAGTGATCACCAATCAACAGAAGCACTATGCACACTGCTGGAGATGATGCATTCAAGAGGGCCAAGCCACCTGGTTGTCACAGTTATTTCACTGTAAGGAAATAGACTGGATCTCATGTATGTCTCAAGTGCCAGAGTCACTTGCTCTTGCTACAATGCTTGGTGTGGTCCATCCCACCCTCTGGCCTCATCTTACCTGTAGTGGTACTGCCATGGGGTGCAGGCCTTGTCAGCTAAGAGGCAAATATCAAGTGTTGCAGCAGCTTGAATCCACCTACCCCACCATGGGAAGGCCAGGAGGTAGGCCATCTATTTGAACTGTTAATATGATGTTTACAGGAGTGGTTGGGGTCTGAAATGGTTGCAAACTTAGAGTGTCAGAAAGAACCTGTTCATCACAAAACCATAGAGGTTGGGTCAAATTGGTGGTGACACATACCAGAGCATTGATGTTACTTAAATGTATGTATATTAAATGTGTGTGTCCATCAAATGCATGTTATGTTTTAGAGTTTTATTGGGTATCCAAATCAGGATCTCAGGACTTGTCTAAAAATGTATTGATTCCTGGCAGATATGTTTTCACTGACAAAGGAGAGGGTGGGGGGAGGGGGGGGGGGGGGGGGCAGTGGGTTTGGATGCCTAGTTCCATGCCATTGCCTGCCATCAAGTGTCATTTACAGTTAATGGCTTCAGAGCAGCCAAAAGTTCAGAGGAGAAATGGTCTCTCTGATAGCTGGGACTCCACTGACACACTCAGCTGCCAGTCTGTTAGTGACATTTGATGAGTGTGAGGGGGGGGGAGAGGCACATCACCAAAATAATACCAAAGCAACAACTAACTAATGCCAAAATGAGGGAAGGAAGGACTGAAACCGAAATGGTGAAGAATGGTGGTCACGTTTTAGCTAGCGTCAGAAAGCCACGTTTCGAAAGAGCAGTTAAAAATGGTGATGCAAACTCTGGTATTTCCTCGGTGGCATATTGACTCCCGGCATCAGTGACGTACACCAGGGCGCAGTGGAATCGGGCGCATAATTTCAGCTGAGACTGATGTTCAGTGAAAGCATAACCATATGGCTCAAATTTTCATAGATGGGGCTGCCATTGAGCAGAATGATTGCTGTTTGAGGTGTGCGGTGCTAACACCGCAGTGCTCAATGTCAAGAGCACCGAGCGCTGAGTGCCGGCAGTCCTATCACACGCGCTCAGGTGCCGATGGGACGGGTCCGCTCAACGGTGGCTGATTGGGCTCTGACAATGCCGCGATGCCGACCCCAGTGTCGAGACCACACAGGTGCCATCTGCCTGTCGTGCCGCGGCCTCCTGAAATAGCCCGCCTTGGGCCGGGAATGACTGCGGCTCTGTGGTGCTCAAATATAATACGAGATTCAAAAGAATAGGGTGTTTGGTAGTTGCACTACAGTCTGACCTGTGGATGTGAAGATGCGATTTTCACGCCTATGGTTGACGTGCATGCTGTGGATAGGCTTCGTGATTTGTAACCCCTGACCAGGCGTCCGTTGCAGCCAGTCATTGAAGAGCGCTAGAGGAACCGTACAGTATGCTTTGATGTGCCTGATCGCGCATTGCATTGGTAGACATAGAAATCGATGCCTAGGCGGCAGATAGTCTCCTGCCTGAAGTGTTTTCACGTGTATTTTTTGCGCAAAAAGTTAAGGGCCTGCCATAGTTGCCAGCCATGGCAACTATGTACCAAATCAGGCCCTAAATTTAAGTAGGGCCCAGGCCCCCCATAGTTGCCAATGAACCTGCGTAAAAGGGTGTGGTAGAAACAATCTGACTTTCCGTTGGTGATACTTGGATAGTGGACTGCTAGGTGATGCGTTTGTTTGGTAATGCTCTTTTACTGCTTGAAAGAATTGATCGCATTGAAAAACTATTTGTGAATTGAATGTGCAAAGGCTGGTGTTTGTTGTACTGATACCACTGATATCGTTTACGTAGGAATGTTTCTCTTCTCGTTGCAATAATTCGGCGAAGTTATGGCCATGGGAGCGGGCAGCGCATGGTGATTACTTTGCTATGGCAATATTTTGTCGATGGTGTTCAACCGTGCAGCCGAAGACCAATCACAAAGGTGTTAAACATATCACGCTAATGTATATCAAATCGCGTATTAGATGTTTGTTCAGAAGTTGTGTGGAAAACCTAAACCCTTTACATGGTTCAGCGTAGCGAAAATTGGCTTTGGCTTATTTAAGTCGAAAAGCACGGCGCATGGCTCTGATCCATTTCGTTGCTTTGCTACGAGTTTTCTCTTTACGCTGTTGTGAGTGTGCAGGGTGCAGGGACAGGTTCGGTGACGGAGGTCGTTAAGCCGTGACCCCACCTTGTGTCACTAGGAGGTTTTGGGACCCCGCGGAAGCTCCCAAATATCATGGTAAAGGGGCCTTTGCACGTTTTCGTGGGACCCATGGTCATTAATATCAACAGGCATCATGCCCCAGGTGCGCCACAATGTCCGCGTGGCAAGCCGTTCGCTTTAGCACAGTCCCGATAGCAGGCGAATATCATGCTGTAATACTTCATCATGACGTGCGGTAGTCCTTAATGTTACAGCTGGAAACGTCGCGCAAAAGTGGCAATATTTCAGGCGTTTACAACATGATGCGATGAAAAAAACTTAATTTGTTCGCAATTTTCTGCTCGCGCGGAAAATAACTTGGTTGACAGACAGAAATTTGAGTTACACCATGTTCACCAAGTACACCATTTCGGAGTAGCATGCCCTCTCAAAGGAATGCGGCATGTCTTGGCGTTTAAGTGCATGCAGAAATGCAATAGCAGAATGGTGTTGTTATCTGTGGGCTCGTCGATATGGCTGTGGTCCACATGCATCACACAGCTTACTTGGTGCGTGTTGCATATGTCACCAAACTGAGCTATGTTGTAAGTGCCAAGCGTGACGCTCGTGACTTGTGTTGTGCTGGCGTCTGGGGCAGCGCGTGCTGAAGCCGCCGTGCGCCTCGCAGCGCGTGCTGGAGCCGCCGTGCGCCTCGCAGCGCGTGCTGAAGCCACCGTGCGCCCCGCAGCGCGTGCTGAAGCCACCGTGCGCCCCGCAGCGCGTGCTGAAGCCACCGTGCGCCCCGCAGCGCCGGCGTCCGTCGCCGCAGCCGCCATGCCGCTGTGGGGGGTCACCGGCGGCGACGTGCTGGCCGAGCTACGCAGCCTGGCGCTCGAGCTCGGCCTGCTGGCCGTCGACGCCGCGCTCTGCGCCACGCTGGGCGCCGCCGTGCGCTCCGCCGGCCGCGACAATCGCGCGCGTGCACGACGCGCCCAACTTCGACGCCGACACGGCGCTGGTGGAGCGGGTGGCGGCATCGGCCGGCGGCCGGCTGGAGTACGCGGCCGTGCGCGGCGTGGTGCGCCCGCTGGCCGGCGCCATTCGCAGCCGCGCCGCCCCGGCCGTCAGCGGCGTGCTGCAGCGGCTGGCGCTGCAGGAGTACACCATGGAGGCGAGCGGAGCCACCGGCTTCTGGTCGGAGCGGCGGCGCACGGTGCGCGAGGTGGTGAACACGGTGCCGTTCGCGCTGTGCGGCGCCGGCCTGCAGGTGGCGGTGCGCGACCCGGCTGCGCTCACCGCCGTCGACCTGTACACGGTCAAGGACGAGTACGTGCCGGCTGAGACGGTCGCTGGCGCAGAGCGTTTGGCAGTGGCTGCAGGGCGAGCGCAAGCAGGGTCTGCGCGATGTGGAGGAGATGCTGGTGGACGGCACGCACGTGACCGGCTACGGCGAGCTGGTGCGCTGCGAACGCGGCCTGGAGCTGCGCCCGCCGCCGGGCGACCTGCCCTACATCCTGACCACGCGCTCGGAGGCGGCGCTGCTGCGCGCGCTGGAGGCCGACCGGCGCATGGCGCGCTGGCTGCTGCTGGTGGTGGCCGGCGTCGGCGCCTGCTGCGCCGCCTGGACTGGCTGGCAGCTGTGGCGCGCGCTGGCTGGCCGCGCGCGTCGCCGCCGGCTGGCCGCCGAGTACGACGCCATCAGGTCGGAGCGGCGGCGCCGTGAGCGCGCCGGCGCCGCCGTACCCGAGGCCGTCCAGTGCGTCGTGTGCCTAAGCAACCCGCGCGAGGTGGTGGTGGCGCCCTGTCAGCACGTGTGCCTCTGCGTGGACTGCGAGGAGCGGCTGGACAAGCGCTGCTGCCCAGTCTGTCGCCGTGACGTCACCAGTGTGCTGCCGGTCTACCTGGCTTGAAGGCGCAGTGGGCTGCGTGGGTGTGAGTACTAACGGTTGCGTCGATTAGCTGTGCATCCGATCTGGTCATTGGTCAGCTGAGGACGGTCGTTTCTGCGTGGCCTTTCGGTGGGGTGACGGTCGTGCCAGCGAGGCTTCCAAGATTATCGACGTTCGTGTGTTTTATGGAAACATTTTGCTGTGGCGGTGCGATTGTTTTGAACGTCCGTACGCCGGTGTCCTCAGCAGCCGTTGCACCAATTTAGCAACGTTATACCAGCCAAGTGCCTTGTTGAGATCAAACCAGAAACGCCTGTAAAAGCACACAGAGGCTAGTGATTTGCGGTGTTATTAACGCGTTGCCGATGCGGCGTGCTGCCATTTGGTCGGACTGTTGTTTTCACGTGCAGTAGTTAATCGAGAGTGCTCTGCCAGCGGTGTGCATGGTGCATGTGAGAGCCAGATGCCGACTTGGGTCCGGAATGGCCGCAGACTCCATTTTAACTGTGTGAGGGAATACACTTTTGTAGCTGTGGCGGTGGCCATTGATTAAAAGGAAAACAATAAAAAGCGCGCGAAGCGTTGCTTCGGGAGAGCCAGAGGGCGTTGTGTCGCTGGTGTAAGCATCACTAGGCCAGCCCGGAACAGTCGCAGGAGGCTCTCGGGCCGTACGTCCGTGACTCATCTGCTGGCAAAGGCTTCCGCGGGAAGCGGCAGATCGTTCACGCACTTCTACATTGCAAGCACTTGTGTGCGAGGAATGACCTCGTGAGTTGTTTTTTTTGGCAACGGAATGATCTAGGTATGGGTCGAAGCACCACCAGCATGATACTTCCGTTGGGGACATTGGACAACGAATATGTACGTACTGCTGTACTAAACAAGCGCTGTTTGCGACAAAGCGATGCATTCATGCTGAACAAGCCCTGTTTACGACAAACCGATGCATTTTGTCTCATCAGCAACCTATTTACAAAAAATGAGGGCCGATTTTGCATAGTTTGCTCTACGCTTTTTTGGTTGATCCTTGCCACGTTAACGTCTAAAATTGAAACACCAGTTTCGGTATGGGCAAATTTCGGACAGTGGAAGCATGCTATCATGGATCGTTGTGCGTTCATCCCAAAATGGTGGCGTGTTATCACGGATCATTGTGCGTTCATCCGTTATTCAACATTCTTTCTTTCGCTGTGGTGGAATTACACGCATCTTCCTGCGCCACTAACTGCAGTCAAAGGCGCAATTCAGTGAATTTGTCGCTGTGAAGACAATTGCCTGTCAGCTATATGCCAAGTAGACTTACGTGAGGCCTATCAATTGGTTTAAAAACGCACGGTGCACTTAAGGTACGTAATTGGAATCGATGAAACAACACAAAGTGGCCTGGGCAGTCTTACCATTTTCGGGGCGAAATTTCTTAAACATTTGTTTAGCACTACTGAGCGCCCAGAGGCAGTAAGCAGCGGAAGATCTGTAACCATCGCACGCTGTCAGAACTACCAAAAAACGCGCTGAAATCGCTGGCGTTCAGTGCCTTGATGCTGGAATGATATGGTTGGACAAAGGCAGAGACTTGTCTTGATCATCGGCTGGTCTTGTCGAGCTGATTGGTTGCGACAATAGCAACATAGACGATGAATTTATTGATATCCATGCATACACGTCTGGATGGTAAGATTACAGAACAGACAACTAGATGACATCGTGCGCCCATTTCAGCACCCAAACATCAGCAGCACAATCACTGCACTCAAATCTCACCCTGGCTGAACGCAACTGACATGCACACATGGTGGGGCGACTGATCTCACGCGGTCCTTTCCGCAGCACCGGCGAACCATCACCGAGACTAGTTTCTTGCCACCAGCTGGTGTGTCCGACCACAGGCTGTTCTCCGCAATCCACGGCCCTGCGCGGCTCAATCGATTCCATTCTGGCTGGACGGGTCGGACCAGAGGGGTGCCGACCAATGGGAGCGCACCCCGCAACGGACCACCAAGAATGGCCAAGAGGACTTACGGTCCACGTACATCGGTTTTCAAGGGCGATGGGGCGGTGATGTTTTATTCTTTGGATCCAGGTGGCTGGACTGAGAAAAGTTTAGATCACAAGCATCGAAAAGATCAGTGAGTTCCTTTCCAAATCGCTCCAACCCACCACGAAACAGAACACCGTGTTCGGAAGGTGCAGGTGGTATTCTGGACTCAGCCTAGAGCCTGCCTTAGTCCGCGCCCGGCTACAGTGCCATCTATTGACCGATGGACGGAACTTAGTTTCGACGCCTGCTGACGCCCCGTGTCAGCCAAGAGAGCTGGCTGCTGACTGGGTGTTTTCTGTCGGGGGCGGGCAGGCGCTGTGACTGGAGGGCGTGGCCGTCCAGCCAGCCTGGGAGAGGTACCCGCACGTTGGCTCGCGATGGCACAGGACGCACAGACACGCTGTCCAGAGACACGGAGTCTAAGGCTGTGGAATTGAAGGATCGGAACAACTGGGTCAGAACCGGCACTTCCAAACCTTTCACAGCCCTGCACGTGCCGGTGTCGCACTTAAAACCATCAGTATCACTTTCGTGACACCGATAGTTTTTGCCACCACTCGTGACAAACATCGTAAAAAGGCAGCCTCCGGCTCACTGGTCGTCGGTCTAAAAGCCTATTCACTTCCGCCTTTACTCCTCTCTTAAAACGCCTCCGATAAGGCATTCGCGGCATTGTATGAACAACATCAATTCATCACGGATTATCACGCTGCGGCGCGGCCACGCCTTTGCGCCGGCGACCGCAGCCTGCCGGCCACCGCCCGCCGTGAGTGGGAGTCCCCGCGGTGCCCGGCCCACCACGTCCGTCACGCTTCCGGCGTAAATCACAGCTGGAATGACCGCTCCGCCGGATGAGACGCCAGCGCGGTGGACGCCGAGCGCGGAGCTTCGCACCGCCTCGTGCCTCGGCCGTTCGTGGCTGCGTTGACTCGCCCGCGTCAGCGCGCCCCCACTCGGTAAACCTCACCAGCAGCGAGCACTGTGATCTTGGTACTGTCCACAGCCCGTACAGCGATCGTGCCTCACCGCACATCCCGCACAGGGGGTGCGCGGGCAGTGAGAGCAGAAATCCTGTCCACATTCCCGTGCAGGCAGCCCTGCCCACAGCTGGCCCATGTACAGGCCTCTCGCCCACCTCTGGCCAAACCATTCTGTTCTGAACTCCGGGCTGAGCCTTACGCGTCCTGAAATGTATGTCAATTAAAAGTTCATAAGTCATCATTACTAAACATGGACAATAGAGGCAGGTTAAATGAGCGCCTCATCCGCCTGATTCAAAGGCGTTTTTCGCAACTTATTCGCATCAGAATAAAGCATACGGAACAAACACCTAGAACAGTACGATTTCAATTCCAATGAGTTTGCAAGAAATGCAGCATATCACGAGCACGTCACGGCCGACCAAACAACTGCCTTCTGGTGCGGCATCGCATCTTTATTCTAGGACGGATTTTACGTAGCAGATTGTACGTCTTTAACGTACAGCCGCAACATCCAGCGCGTCTGCTCAGAAGACCGGAGAGGGGGGGGGGGGCAGACACTGACACCGCGCGGGACACGAAGGTGTACGCACCTCCGTGCCCCTGTCGGGCCGGCTGGACGGCGGACCAGTCGACTGGCCTCAGTAGGTCGGGTACCGGGGTACGCTCGGCGGCGGGCCGCCGACTGAAACACGGGGGGTGCGGTGAGGAGCTGAGGTGGCTGGGGTCGAGCCATCGCGACCCAGCCTACCGCTGACGTCACTGCTGACGTCACAGCTGCTGGCTCGGTGCACCACACATCCGACATGGCCAGCATTAGCATTGTGGAACGCCAGCCAGGCAAAGTTAGAGGTCACACCGCATTTGTGATATTGCCAATGATTTGCGACTTAGGGGCAACGATAGGGAATTTCAGCTCAGCACAACGCATCGGACTAAGAACAAATAATATGATATGCGTAACAGCCTTCAGCACCGTAAATGCACGCTTCTGAGGAACCACAGTCCAGTTACAGTTCGACCAGGCGTGTCGTTCCCGGTTTGTCGAACAGCTGAGCGCACTGGGGAACCGGCCTGGGGCCACGGTTTGTCGAACTGCTGAGCGCACTGGGGAACCAGCCTGGGGCCTCAGCTTGTCGAACTGCTGAGCGCACTGGGGAACCGGCCTGGAGCCACGGTTTGTCGAACAGCTGAGCGCACTGGGGAACCGGTGTGGGGCCTCGGCTTGTCGAACTGCTGAGCGCACTGGGGAACCGGCCTGGGGCCACGGTTTGTCGAACAGCTGAGCGCACTGGGGAACCGGCCTGGGGCCACGCTTTGTCGTCAGCTGACCGTCGGCTGAACTCACAAGCAGCCTGCTGCAGGTAGCCGTGCTGCTGCTGCTGCTGCTGCGCCAGCACCGCCTGCTGGTAGGCGGTCAGGCCGGGCGCCGTGTAGTAGGACACAGAGCCCTTCTCGCCGGCCGACCGCTTGTACGGCATTCCCATTGCCGGAAAGGGCTGGTGGCGAGGTCAGGGGTCAACGGCCGCTACTGCGGCGGGGAGGCGAGGGGGCGGCGGAGTTGTGGACGCTGCCGCGGTGAGGGGGAGGGGGCAGCGGAGCTGTGGACGCTGCTGCGGCGAAAAGGCGAGGGGGCGTTGGAGCCCTGGACATCGCTGCGGCGAGGAGGGGAGGGGGCAGCAGAATTGTGGACGCTGCTGCGGCGAGAAGGCGAGGGGACGTTGGAGCCCTGGACACCGCTGCGGCGGGGAGGGAGGGGGCACCAGAGTTGTGGATGCTGCTGCGGCGAGAAGGCGAGGGGGCGTTGGAGCCCTGGACGCTGGCGCGGCGTGCAGGGGAGGGACGGTGAAGCTGTGCTGGCATGCTTCGTAAGGCTAACACAAAACTATCAACATTGTCTTGTGAGAATAAGGAGCAAATGACTCGATTCAATAGCCGACCCGTCTCCTGGCGAGCGGTATTTCAGTCATCTAATGGTCAAACCAGTTCGTTACCAGAACCAATATGATTATTTTTGTAAAACCACCAGGTGCATTACTTACAGCGTAGTACACCGAAGTATCGTATACAGGCTCGCCCTGAAAATACCATCGGCGTCAGAAGAAAAAGTACAGGAGTCACTGCTACGGATGCCACATCAGTCGGCATCATGCGATGCACGATCTGTGCTAGAATGCTGAGTCAACACGGAGCAGGTAACATAAGGTTCGGCACATTACATGCCGCCAATGTAGGACCCACCTATATCGCAATTGACGCCTAGGTTTTGGCCTGCTGGTTCGGTCAGAGCTATTTTAACACACCGCAATAACTTCGGAGGTGGGTAAATATCGCGACATCCTGACATGCCTCAGACGCCGGGAATTCGGGGCACAAGGAAACCAAACCATAGGCGTGCGAGTTCTAGGAATGGCCCCCAACAGGGGAACCGGTGACGGCCAACTCATGTTAATGGCCACCCTAGGTGTGGACGAGTTATGCTGTTGTTGCAAAGCGTTCAGGATACAACGTGGTCGGAAGAAAATATAGCGGATGGCACAGCCGCCAACAATGTCCGAGTAGGCAGCCTGCGTGATTCGAATTGTATCCCCACACTTCAACAGCTCTGTATGCGCTGGCCTGCCCAGCTCACCTCCAGACGGTCGTTGGACAGCTTTTGCTGCATCTGCGGCAGTGGCAGCGCCGACAGCATGGCCGTCTCCCCCAGCGGCGGACTCGCTGCCAGCGCATAGTACTGACTGAGGCCGGCGTAAACAGGGCCCGCCGGCGACGTCATCTGCCGGACAAAACGGAAACTATTGCCTATCGCGGCTGACACGCCAATCTTGACGTGCTATTGCCACGTCCAGCTGTCTTGGTTAGATTGTCAATATCCCAGCCAGCAAATGTTCCAATAAGTTACGACCCAAGCAATTGCAGCCGTTATTGCCCTGGTCTACGATCAGGTATAAAGCAACGCACAATGACGACAACAAATCAACATGCTTGACATGACTAATCGCGTTACGGCATTTGAGTATGGTTTCAAAATGGAAGCAGAACGCTAAACATGCTCACAAAATCATAGGTTCTTCGCAATGCAAGCACATACCACGGTCCTGTAGAATGTCA